GTAAGGCTACAATTGTTACTTAAACTCAGGAGGGAGTTCATAGGGCCTTCAGAAACTATAATGGAGAATCCAGATCTTAAACAGCTTCAAAGCCAACCTCAAAGTCTGCTGTCTTCAGGAATCTTCCCCTCGCTACAACCCTGCCCCAAAGATATGCACTCCCACCCTCAACTTCACTTACCTTCTAGCTCAATTTTTTTATTTTGATGGTACCAGGGATCAAGCCCAAGGCTGTCACATGGTAGCAAGAGCTGTGGCACTGAGCTATATCCCCAGCACCTGTTATTTTATTTTTAAGTACATCTGGTCTTTCTGATTTTACCTTAAGTGCCTTTTGGGCAGGAAATGCCTGTCACACTCTTAAAACCACAGCATCAAAAATGCTGGGCCCACTGTGTTACAGGCCTAGGTGTCCGGGTATCTCAGGAAACAAGGAGTGCCTTCTTGATGACAAGATCCAGRGGAGAGAAGAAAATGCAAAAGGCCATTTTCCTATCCTTTATTGCACACTGAATCCGCTGGCCCTCATTCTTCACAGAAAAAAAATGCTCTTGCCTTGAACGGGCAGGCTGCTGCCCAGTATGACCTTTAGCCAACAAAAATTTTATCCTATTTCTCCCCAGCTAAAAATCCATCAGTGGCCTCCAAGTCTTTAGGATGAAGGCCAAACTCCTGTCCCATGTCCCAACTCCTGCTTGCTGCTTGAATCTCAACTTCCTAAATGCTCCTCACACTCCAACCTCCAGTCTCATCATTCTCATTGTGGTACCTCAAAAATACCTTTCTCTCAGGCATCTGCACTTTCACATCTTCTGTCTACAACATCTACCTGTATGCTTTCCCTGGAAAACTCAGCTCAGCTGTCATTTCCTCAGGTTAGGGAACCCTCTTCTGGGCTCCTGCTGGAATCCAYGTTCCCTTATGTACTGCACTGTAACTATTAGTCTGGATACCTACGAATTTGTGGAGTGAACCCAGGGCAGGAACTGTTATCCTATGCCTGATTCTCCAGTTTTGGCCATGGAACCTAACATGTCATGAGTGCTCTAAGATATAGAATATATGAATCACAACCTGGCTCATCCTTCCTATGCCTACAAGAAAGGGTTATCTCTGATATGCTGGGAGTATATCAAGGACTTCAATCAATAATGGACACTATGAGCAACTATTCCTTCCTTCCTTCTTTCCTTTTCTTTATTTGTGGTTCTAGGGATCAAACCCACTTCTACCACTGAGCTACATTCTTAGCCTCCCCCACTCTTAAATGGCACTAGGAATTTAACCCAGGGGTGTTATACCACTGAGCTACACACCCAGCCCTTTTTATTTTGAGACAGGGTCTTGCTAAGTTGCCCAGGCTGGCCTCAAATTTGCAGTCCCCTTTGCTCAGCCTCCTGAGTCACCGGGATTACAGGCATGTGCCACTGTACCCTGATATTGAATATATATGACATTGAAACCATTAATTAATCAGAGGTACAGCCAGGACTTAGAACCCAGGGAGTCACTTTCTGGAGCCTATACTCCTAACCACTATACTCTGCTACCTCCAATAACAATCATGAAGAGATAATGGAGGTATTCACAACTAGGAGAAAATTTCAGAATCTGTAAGGTCAAGCTTCATGGGCATGTTCCCCAGCCACCCCTCTGAGCCCTGCTGTACCTCACTACCTACTATCTTCTTATGATGTTCCTGCCAGAATGGGTGGGAGAACGAACCAGCAGGGCCAGAAGGAAGAGTTCCACCATTCTCATGTGATAAGCTCAGAGAGTTGGGATTGTTTTACCTTGAAAAAAAGAAAGAATTTTAGAGAGCTAGATAATATTTGCAGAAAGTGTAGCAACTATCTACAAGGACACAAGATTACATATTTCTGCATAACTGCATAAGGCAGAAATGGCCAACTTTTCAGCAATTACAGCTATCTGAAAGTGGAAAGCTCTTTTATAGGCAAATGAGAAAGAACACATACAAAAACTCTTGGAATCCCATGGAAATCATCCTTAAACCCAATTTAGAAACTCTGGCTTTGGGTGATCATTCTTTGCTAATTGACTATAAAACAAAATGTAAACTCAGGCATCAGATGATAAGTGGCAGGGTTGGGGATGTAGCTTAGTAGTATATTGCTTGCCTAGCATATTAGAGACACAGAGTTCCATCCCAGCACCACAAAAACAAAACAAAACCAAAAAAAGGATTTTCTTTAATTTTTTTTTTTTGCAGTACTGGGGATGGAATTTAGGTGTACTCTAACACTAAGCTACATCCCTACCCTTTTTATTTTGAGACAGGATCTCACTAAGTTACAGAAGCTGGCTTTAAAGTTGCAATCCTCCTGCCTCAGCCTCTAGAGCTGCTGGGATTATAGCCAAAAAAAGCTTTAAAAAATATTTAATTAAGAAGAGATAACATATACTATTTTTTTTCTTGTATGGGGGATTGAATCCAAGGGTATTTACTACTGAGTTACATGTCTAGCCCTTTTTTATTTTGAGTCAGGGTCAAGTCACTAAGTTGCTGAGGGCCTTGCTAATTTGCTGAAGCTGGTTTTGAATTTGTGATCCTTCTGCCTCAACCTCCCAAGTCACTGGGATTATAGGTGTGCACCACTGTGGCTGGCTATACTTACTACCTACAAATTCAATTCTATGATTGATAAATCATGGATCCTACAAAATCTAAGTGAAGGGGCTAGGGTTGTGGCTTATTGGTAGAGCACTTGCCTGGCATGTGCAAGGCACTGGGTACGATCCTCAGCCCCACATAAAAATAAATAAATAAAAATAAAGGTGTTGTGTTTACAACTAAAATTTTTTTTTTTTTAAATCTAAGTGAGGGTTATAACTTGAACAATCCAAGAGAAAGCAAGTAAGYGCCTCCAGGTACCTTCTAACTCAGAATTCTCAGTGGTGCTCTATTCCTAACTTTCGGCTTAGGCTTTTACTCAGCTTGGTCACGACAGCAACACTGCTTGCCTACCTCCCAGAAAAGCTCTTCACTGAGCAAAAAACTGCTGTTTACATTAAAATGTAAGGCTAAATATCATGCGTAGGCTTTGAACTACAAGAATGGCAGTGTTCATAGACACCAGCGCCTTCTTCCCTATAATCCCTCTTCCTTGGTCATGCTTCATTAGTGTTCATTCAATCTCTGTATGTCTGTGGGGAAAGAAAACACAGGGCTCAGAATTAGAATAGCAGTGTGCGTTCTGGCCCAAGCTCTGCCATTGGGTATCAGTCAATTTTTTTTTTTTTTTTTGGCATGTACTGGTTTCTTCAAGGCCCCTTCCCTGTTTACTTCACAAGGTCATATGTGCTAAAGTAGTAAAACATTTAGACAAATTAAACCCATCTAACACATGTGAGGCTTTATTATTATAATCTCAGAACTTCCCTTCCCCTGCAGTTGCATATATGACATCATGTTGACAGCAGTCTTGACCCTGGAGAGATGAGTATGGTGACAGATCTCAGCTCAAGTAGGCAGCTTTGACTTCCTTCCAAAGTCAAGTATAAATGATTGGGATTTATATGCAGCTTTGRATCATATTTACTTTTCTGCTTCTCGGACTAACATAAGAAGAGCTGACTATATTTAGCTTTATATTTTATTTGGTTTTCTTTCCCTGAGTCAGATGGAAACTGTTTCTTCCCACCCTGTCCTTCTTCTCATGTTGAGTTTCACAAAGGCAAAGATCATTTCCCTTTTTGGCCACACAACTCTCTCATGGTAAGAACTAGTCCTTTCCTCAACACCCAATCAGAACAGAAAATCTCTGAGAAGGGGAACCACGTCTTTGTGCTCTATTTACAAGACTCGGTGAGATTACTCAAAGAGGTGAGATCCAAGGGACTGAAACATTCGAGTCTAAAAATTAAGATGCTGCAGATTATCTTCTAATAACTGATTTCCTTAGGTGGATGCCTGGAACAGACAATGGGAATTTTGTGATGGTAACGAATTTAGAGGGCTTAGAGGCAGACAGATCCAAATTTGTATACTTAGTTGCCACTTACTAGCTATACGACTGAATGAATGATTTACCAACCTCTCTGGGTCACTTTGTTTTTAACGACTGCGAAAAAGGGGAATGATGGCAACTACATTCTAARCTTGTTGATAAGATCATATGCCCATTAAATAGTGGAAGGCTCCTGTGGATATACATCAGGGAATAAAAGGGACAACATGTGCAGAARGGCTCTGCAGAGACCAGACCAGTACCTCGTTATCTGGAGGTCAAGATGCAGCAAGCCCTGCCTGCCGAGCAGTCGGATCTCCAGGCTCAGAGGCAGTGTTTTGCACACTACAATCCTGTCTCCTCTCATGAGGCCTTGAACTGCCAACGACCTGGAGCTGTCTAGAATCCCGAGTGAGTAAAGCTGCCAGAAGCCGATCTGGCTTCTAGCAGGAAAGTGCCCTCTGAGAAGGGGCCGGACATTCGGGTCCCGGCAAGTCGCACCCGCGGGCCTGTCTCTCTCACTTACCCGAGAATAGTAACGGTCCTTAACGGCAGTCAATAACGGCTCACCTKCGGCCCGGGAACTATCTATCAGGGGCAGGCTGAAGTCAAACCTAGACTTTGGAGCCTCCACGCCCAAAACCCTAAACCAACATCGAACTACAACTCCCAGCATGCCCCGCGGCCGCCCGGGTACGAAAGGGTCTGCCCCACCAACCTTGCGGCCCTGCTTCCCTCCAAGCGCGGCCGAACGTCGGGGTTTCCGGGATTGCTTTCCACAACCCTCTCACCAGGACAGCCACCCTTCGTGATTTCTGGGTACTGTAGTTCACCTTGTTCCGGTTTCTCGGGAAAGAATTGCTCCCATTGGCAGCTCCCTTCCTCATAAAAACTACAAAACCCAGATTACAGCGCAAGCGCTCTTCATCCAATAGGAGCCGCCCATGTAGCGRGACTCAGAGCCCGGCTCTCGCAACCCAAGATGGCGGACGAGAGTGAGACAGCAGTGAAGCCGCCGGCACCTCAGCTGCCGCAGATGATGGAAGGGAACGGAAACGGCCATGAACACTGCAGCGATTGCGAGAACGAGGAGGACAACAGCTACAACCGGGGGTAACGAGATCCTCGGAGTTCAATTTTCATCCAGTCTCCCTCCACCTGGGTCTTTGGGGTGCGGGGAAGTCACAGGGAGCTTAATCTAACCCCACCCCCATGTTCTTATTGGCTAAGACATTAGGATCTCGCTTGGTGATTGGTTGCTGCCTTTGTCATTTACCAGGGGTGGGCACTCAGTATATTAAAGCCAGAGCCCTTCAGTACTTTTATTATATAAAAGTTCTGTGTAATGTTCCACTCGTGTGCTTCAGGCGCGTCCGTGGAAAAGAGCATGATGAACGATGGTTTTCGATGGGCAACACGGGTCAATCTAGTAACTACAGTGAGAGGGAACGTTACTTCTTGAGGTGTTTTTTGAACAACGTGACTAGCAATGAAGGAATAATAAAACATTTCGTTGCAATTCACCTTCAATGAGGAAATTCATCAGGGTATACAAACCATATATATAATTATGCTGTAAAATATCACTACCARAGAATTCCAAAATATAAACTCACCCTATAAACCCTGCATAATTAACCGTATGGTGTTTTGATTTTTATGGTATCTTGCTCCAGATAATCCATAAGTTTCCTGAACGATATGTAATTAGGTTTTCCAGAGTCTTTGCTATGTTAACTTTGTGAAGTAGCCTAAAGTTTCAAAACATTGGTCAGTATTTGATATCTGTGGATTTAATATTGAGTATCCTGTACTTTAGAGTCTTGTCATTAGTAACTGTATTTTTCCCTCGGGAACAAAAAAATGCCCTAGATATTTGAATGTTAAGGTCTTTTTCTCCAAGTCAGTTTTCACTTTTGTAAGCCATAGCTTAATTAATCTTTCTTCACATTGTTGGCACTCACCCTTCCTCTCTCTATTTAAATGTACCTTTTTTTTTTTTTCAACTGAAAGCCATGAGAGAATGTTCTGGGTATATAGCTTTTGCTCAATCTGTGGTGGTCTGATTTTTATAGCCAGCTTGTCATCTGTGGTAACTGCCTATTCTTTGCTTTGCCCTTCCCTCAGGAAATATGAAGTTAATGGTAGATTGAGGTCTTTGGGTAAACCTTTATATTTTTATTCTGCTACATTGTAGATGTGGAATAGCAAAGGATTATTTAAATGCTTGATAATCTACTTGTAGTGAAATTTAGATKGAAAGATCTAGCTTCCTTGTTCTTCCACCAGCATGAAATATCACAAGAAAGCCACTTGCAGTGGAGCAGGCCTTTAATCCCAACAATACTGGAGGCTKAGACAGGAAGATCATAAGATCAAGGCCAGCTTCTGCACCTTAGTGAGTGAGACCATCAGCAAGATCCTGTCTCAAAATAAAAAAGGGCTGGAGATGTCCTTAGTGGTTCCTGGGTTCAATCCCCCGTAAGAGAAAACAAACAAAAAAAAAATCACAAGAAGAATGTAGAGGAAAAGGAAGCTTGCCAAGTTTGATTTTTGTGACTGCATTCTGTAGCTGTAACTCATCACAGATCTAACATAACAAAAGCCTTTTTTTTTTTTTGATGTTCGGTATTCCTAAGAATGGAAGAGCCGAGAAAGAGGAAGCAGGAACCAGAAGAAGGGAAAAGGCAGCCCTCTTGAGTAGAGATCAGAATGTGAGAGTCATTTTAGAAGTGAAAGTATGGCTTTTTCTTTGTTCTTTATGTAATTACTTTTATTTTTCTCAACTGAATTCTTGCCCCGACTGATGCCTATAGTTCTTTAATAGATTTTGTTCCCCAATAAATTTTGTTCCCTGTAAAGTGGCTGGTAGTATAGCTCAGTGATAGAGCWTAAGCTCAGCTTGTTGGAGGCCAAAGGTTCAATCCCCATCAACAAAACGAAAAATAAAAATAAAAATCTGTGTAATAGAAAATTCTTTTTCTGTTTTTTGGTATTGGGAATTGAACCCAGAGGCACTTTACCATTGAGCTATGTTCCCAGCCTTTTAATTTTTTTAAAGTTTATTTATTTATTTTAATTAGGTATATATGACAGCAGAATACATTTTGATTCATTGTACACAATTGCAGCACAACTTTTCATTTCTCTGATTGTACAATATTTTTTTAAATTTTTAGTTGTAGTTGGAAACAATACCTTTATTTTATTTTTATGTGGGGCTTGCACTTGCTAGACGAGCACTCTACCGCTGAGCCATAACTCCAGCCCCTGTACATGATGTTTTATTTTTTATTTTGAGACAGGTTCTTGCTAAGTTGCTAAGGCTGGTCTTGAACTTGTGATCCTCCTGTCTCAGCCTCCCGGGTCACTGGGATTACATGTGTGTGCCACCATGACCAGCTCTTTTTCTTTTTTGTAGTGGATTATAACCAAACCAAGTAAAACTTTTGTGTGTATTTTTGTTTATTTTTTGGTGGTTGTTTCTGTATGTGGTTATGGTTTGAGCAAACAGATTACTTTTATTAGTATCCCAAATCTAGAGATCTATAAAAATGAATTTGAATGAGGTGACAATTGAAAAACAGAACCCATTCTGAAGGAGAGAGTCTAATTCTCGAACTTAGAATCTGGTATAGAGTCAAAAATTTTCCATTAATTTTCAGAGGAAAGTGTTTTGGGAAGAAGCAACATGCCACAATGGGGAAAGCATAAACTTTGGAGTCATTCAAACCTGGCTTCAAAAGCCTGATTCTGACACTGGTCCTCTGACCTTGGGAAATTAACATAGAGTTGTAGAGATTAAGTGATAAACATAGATTGCAGCTCCCCTCCCTCTCCTTTTGTTCCTCCCCTATCTTGTCCTCTGCTCTTATCTCAGTCTTCATTTTTGTAACCTTTAGCATAACAGTACTAAGTAACATTTTAAATTTTTGTTTTATGTGTCCAGTCCTGCTTCCCTGACTGTAAGATGCACAAGAACCAGGATTGTTTCTTCTAGATGCCTGGCACTTAGTGGGTATTAATGAGTATTGGATAAATGAATGGCAAATGCCTGATTCATTGTTAATGGAATCATTGAGTGGAAAAATGTTCGATTTTTTTTCCTTATATACACACTTTTTTTTTTTTCACAAGAAGTCTCATTTTAAGCCTCACTAAAATTTTTGTCAATTGCCTACAGAAATCAAGCAACTTCCAGTTTGTTGTGGAAGTACTCCAGTGTTTTTTGTTTTGTTTTGTTTTCSAAATAACTGAGGATTGAACCCAGGGCCACTATACCACTGAGCTACATCCAGCCCTTTTTAAATTTTGATTTTAAAACAGGTTCTCACCGTACCTGGTAGAAATTTCTCCTTTTGAAGCTAGTGATTCTAAGTACCACACACAATAAAGGTTAATAACAGTTGAAGCGAACTTTTGTTCTCTCAGGCATCTCTTCCAGGAGGGTTCATAGTGCTTTCTACCAATGAAATCCTGCACTGGATTAATAGGAAATGCAGCTGTGCTAGTTTGTTGTTTCTTTATGTAGGAGTTTAGTTCTTGACATTTGTCATTAGTGTTTTCTTTTAAAATTAAATAAATAGGGCTGGGGATGTGGCTCAAGCGGTAGCGCGCTCGCCTGGCATGCCTGCGGCCCGGGTTC